CCGCGGCCGCCCCCCGCCGCCCCTGCCGCAGGCGTCCCCGATTCAGCTGCTGCTGAAACTGACCAGCAGTGGCTGAATTGGGGATGCCTGGGGTGGAGCCGGACTATGAGGGGTCTGTGGTGGCATCCCCCCCACACCACTCCAGACCCCTCATAGCCCCCTCTTCTGATAGTCCGGCATATCTGATAATCTGGCACCCCCTGGGTCCTAAAAGTGCCGGATTATCGGAAGTTTACTGTATAAGGAAGAAGTTGCTTGTGTTAATGAGGCTGATCCAAGTCAGGGTGGCAGTGGGCTATTCGCAGGATTGGTGTGGAGACATGTATGTCCAAATCCTGAGAAACTGCCCTTGCACTTCCCTACCTGAGGCTTACCCTGTGTCACGTGGGGATCCGCAGCAGCTGCCATTGGTTTGCCCTTGTAAGGGACAACTGGAATTGGAGCGTGCAGGGCTGTGTAAAATGGGAAGTGAATCAGAACACACATGGGAAATTGGACTCTGGAGTTGGGGCTACCGTATGCTCCAAAGGGGAGTCAACTGCGTTACATCGCCCGGGCTGTGAAGTGTCAGGCCCTGGGTGACGTGATGTCCCTAAGCCAACCGGAGCCCTGGAGCAGACGCACTGGGTTGATGGAAGAATTTTTTGCATAAACCTAGTTCCTGCCTCTCAAAGTGGACTGATGACCGTAGTGAGCGTCTCGACTGCAGCTGGGCTGCTGTAGAGTTTCTAACGTGCACGCGCCCTCGCTGAAAAAGCTGCTCTGAATTCTTCCGACAAACAGCCGCCCCAATTGTTGCAGCTTTCCAAGGACTCAAAGGAAGGCCGATGCTTTATCTCCAGCTATGGAGTCAATGAATGAAGATGGTAGATTTTTCCTGGTGGGCAGAAATGAGGCTTTCAGCACCTATGTCCTGTACTGAGCCTCTCAAGGAAGTGTGGTAGAGGAATTCCACGGCCGGTCCAAATCCTTGTTGATTTAAGGAGGGATTTTCAAAGTATTCCCTAGAGAACTGGGCCCCTCGTCTTGGGAATTGTGGGCCCAATTCTCTCTGGCTTCTCTGAAAATCTCGGCATCAGTGTGTTTCCCAGATGGACGGGGTAGGTGGACCTCTCCTGTGCACAGGAGAAGTCAGACATTGCTGTGTTCTTTGTACAGCTGAATGGGGTTGCCTGGGGTGTCCTACTGAGAAGATCTGGGTTCCCTCGGCTTGGTGGCTTGTCCAGCTCTTCTCATCCTTGAGTAAAAATAAAACCGCTCAGCTCTTTGAGGCAAGACGTCCCAGGGCAGCTGAGGCAGTAGCAGTAAGCAGTTACGTGGAAAATCTGCAGCTAGCTAAAAGGAAGGCTGGGTACAGCTTCATGTACTTGGCTTGGAGATGCTTTCATGGATTTGAAAGCCTGTTACCATCCACTAACCAGTTTAACTTTGCAGGAAACACCTTAGACAAATATTTGGTTTCCTATTCCTTGCTGTTGAGCCCAGGTCTTGTTGTAAGGTGTCTGCTACTGCCTGGTAGGTCCCGTAGCGCTGCCCCTCGGGGCTGTGGGACCAACCCCACACCTCCTGTCAGTTCAAGTGTTTTTAAGCAGATATTGGTAAAGCAGCGCATTCCCTGTACGGAAACTCTCAGCTTACAGAGTAAACCGAAACAGGCTGCTCAAAACCAAAGCACAGGGCTCTGTATCGGTTTCAACCCATTGTGTGTTTAAACTCGTTTAAGTTAGCGGTGTGACTCTCATGTAGACATGCCTTCCAGCTGAGCCGGATCCGTCGCTCTGTGAGGCCAACAGACTTAACCCAAACACCGTGTTTTGACTCTGCGAGATCAGCCCTCTAGCAAGCCGGAGAAATTTGAAAATAATAGTTTAAAAATGGTTCGCTGGAGCTGCAAAAAGCCCTTGGGCATGACCGAGCAAGAGAGGAGGAAGTGACAGAGCGGGTTTGACCAAGGGATCGGTGCATTCAGACTGGAATGTGAATGGAGGCAGTGTCTCAGAAAGGGAACCGCTATTCTAAAATGTAGCAGACCAAGGTGAGCAGACTGCAGGGATCCTGAGGAGTTCCTTAGAGTGGAAGAGCCCAGATTAGCAAGAGGAAGTAGACATCCAGCTTACTTCAGCATTCTTGGCTAGCTCAGCGCTATAAAAGGGGTTGCAGCAGCCAAGTCAAGAAACTCTGCAAAAAATTAGCTTTCTCCCAACGGAGGGCAGCTCCGCACGGAAGACTTATCCTATCCTGTCCAGCAGTTGGACCCAAGTGCCAGCCAACCCTGGAAGGAAGATGAGGAAGACTCAGTGGAAGCTCTCTACCATAACGGTCTAGTAAAGGAATAAGAGTTAGAGAGCTGAGCGATGGGGGAAGGGTCAGAAAGGGGCTGATGCGGGGGGGCGGGGAGAGAGAAACAACATTACAAAGCAATAGGATCTTCTTCAAGGCTACCTCCTGCTTTGGAAAGGGGACTCGTTCTACAAGAGCTGTGAAGGCAAAGTAGTACAATGAGCAGGGAGGTGTAGGCAGTGTCCCCTACACATTGTGGGAGTGGGGGAGTGGTTGTCTCAGGGCTGTCTCTGTGGGGCACGTATTAAAGGCTGCCTGGCCTGTTCAGGAGTCTTGTCCCCGTCGGTAGTAATGGTGCAGCTGGACAGAAATCCGGGTGAAGTCCTGAGCGGATATCAGAGACATGACTGCACGGGAACAAGAGAGTAATGAAATACCCTGGACAAACCAGTAGCCTAAATAATTTGCCTAGTGGCACCCAAACTCTGGCTCTATTGGCCCAGTGAGGGGAGAACTGAGAGAACTGAATCCACACAGCAACAGCAAGACCGTCCCAGCTGGGGTCACGGGCTGTGGCAGGATATGGGGACTGCAAGGTCGTCTTTCAGGTGATGGCCTTGGACGGGCCACAGCCGGCTTTGCAGATGCTTAGAACACCTTGCACCCAGAAGGAAGGGAGGAGCCAAAATATTTACCGCAGCCCAAGTATATAGCAGCAAGGGCAGCACTGCAAAACCCTAGTTCTGCTTTTCCCCGACGCTGTCCCTGGTCATGGTAAACCCCTCCGATTCCCACCCGGTCTCAGCCCTGTGAAACCGCAAACTTACCCCCAGGGCCTGTCTAACATGGCTCCACTGACGGACGTGCGGCTCAGGCTTGGGATTTTTGAGGAGTCGTTTGTGGAGAAAAACAGGTTAATCTGCCTCTGCTGCAAGGGCCAGGCGGCATTGGTTTTTTGTTTTTCTTCATATGTTCTGGGGAAACTCCTATCAGAGAGGGGAAGTAGGTTCACAGAATCCTTGAAATCTCGCCAAAAGTGATTCCTTCCTTCAGCAGAAAGGTCAGAAGTTCGCTGTCCAACTCAAGATGAGGAAAGCAGTTAAAGCTTGGTGCTTCCCAGAAACTGCTTGTGAATTGGTTCTCTTCGAGCTACTTTTAATTCCTCCTTCTAAGGAATAACCTAAGCCGGGGTGGGCAATATAATGAGTGGTTTGCCGGTGTTAGCCCCTGGTGGGCTGCCGTCGTTATGTTTACCTGCGCCTTCCCAGGTACTGGTGATTTGTGGCCCCCATTGGCTGCAGGTCACTCTTCCCAGCCAATGGGAGTGGTGGGAAGCAGCCCAGACTGGGATAACACTTCCTGCAGCTCCCATTGGCCCAGAACGGCGATCTGCAGCCAATGGGAGCTGCGAACGGCTGTACCTGCCAGTGATGTTGGGATGTGGGAAGAGAGAGCGGGTATGCAAGTAAAGTTGACATTTTTGAGCGACTCAGCCCCTCTCTCTGGGAAAGGGGTTTCCTCTGACACCCCTCCAATCCATCCCCTGCTCCCCCCTTTAACCCCTTTCCTGCCTGCAGCTCTGTGTGATTTGAGGAAAGAGAGCTGGTCTGATGGCTTTGAGCATCCAGGTTGTTTCACAAAGGCTGGAGGGTGGTGCTGGCTTCCTCGTTGCTTGGATCTCTGGCCTGCGGAGGAGAACAAATGGCAAACATTTTGAAGCTCTGCAGGTTTCCGGAAAACTACAATTATAAATGTGCTATATCCTCTGCAAAATCTCATTGGCTAGAGTAGGTCTCTGTACCTGCTACTACCACATTGCAGGTGTCAGTATTGGAATGTGACAACCTCTCTTCTCATACAGTGGCGCTGCTCTGGGTGCGAGCAAGATTCTGGTAGATTTGAATCCATCCCCTTTTCCTGGAGACTTGTCTGGGCAGGGGTAGGAGCTGGGAGCGTCTTGCAGGTTTCTTTGCAATCCTGGTTTTGAAGAATCCAGTTGCAGAGGAAAGTTAAAGCCAATACTTCAAAATGGGGGGCAAGGGGAGTGAACGCAGGGGAAGGACAGGAGATTCTGGAGGGAGCTGAGGGTTTTTTTAAGCCACTACTTGATTACAGCAGTAAATGATCAACTTCGTTCAGTTTTACAAATTAACAAAAATTACAGTCTTGTAAGGTGATGCCTGGCTGTTCGCTACTGCTAAGCATAGCTTATGAACACACCTATTGCTAGTCCTGGAAACATGATCTAGCTTAAAATCTAGTCTCCCTGATTTTAGACTCCAGTGCAGCTGTCCATGTGCGAGAGAGAAGAAAGGGCCCAACTAATCAATCGGCCCCCAAAATCTGGGCCAGTCCCTGTCTGAACTACAAGCCGCCAGCCAGTCCTACATCCGCCTGTGTAGTTATGTCCAGCGTTAAACACAAATCAGTAAAATGATCATGGTTTTAAGTGAAAGACACAGAGTTAATGGGGCTGTGTGTTTTTCAATTAGTGTATTTTGCTCTCTGTACATGCAGTAATCGTGCAGGATATTTTCGTGTGTTTTTCAGCGGTGGGTTCATTCTCTGCCCATGCTGCCTGGTGGCTCGAATGTTTCAGGCCACAGTCCATTGGTAACTGGCCTGAGTCCCACGACAGCCCTTTTCCTAGGGATCTGCTTTCGGGACTGGAATCAGCCAGTTAAGGGGGAGCCCTTGCTGGACCCATTGACGCGTCTGCAGCAATGACATGTGCTGTATGTTCTGTTTCTCTGCTCGCGGCGTGGCGTATATGTGGCTGGGCCTGGATTTGAACCTGGAGAGTGCCGCAGAAAAGTGGAGTCATGCATGCCTCGTGCGTGTGCCGTGCCGTGCCGTGGTGTCAATTGGAAAGGATATGCCCCCTGTCACTGTTGCTTCGCTTGTTTCCTGTTTCCCCTTGCTCTTCGCGCTCAGTTTTCCTGACTCTTTTCCTGTTGTTTTTCATTTCACAGTCCAAATAAACGGCTCTCGAGCAAGAAGGTAGCAAGGTAGGCTGATACTTTTTGTGATCCTTTTGTTGCCCTGAAGGGTGGGATTGTGTGCTTAAGGCTGTCTACCTTGGTGTGCCACCTTCTCCTCTCAGAGAAATGTAGAGTGCATGTCCGGTAGCGACCAGCAATTGTAACACACCTCGCTGATTAACGACTGTTAGTTTTTCAAACTGTCAGACTGCATTCCACTCTGGAGACGGACTTAGCCGGGATGTCTCCCAGGGCCCCCACTCTGTGCATGTCCCGACACCAGGTTTGCTGGACACTCTGCCCATTTTGAGAGCGCCTCATTAGGGATGCATGTGTTCTTCGGTAGCCTCAGCGCCATTAGCGACTTACCCCGCTCGTTACACAGGGACAGCGATGCTGGTAAACTGCCCAGTACGCAAACCCCTCATTTCTGACGCTGGCAGCGATCTGTTACAGGGAGCGCTCGATGGCTGGACTGTTGCTTTATGTTCCCAAGGGGTTAGGGCCCCGGTAAAGGGGAGAGGCAGAAGCAGCTCCTTCGGGACATAAGGCTTTCATGTGACCGTGCAGTGCCCCAAAAATGGATCTTGTTTTCAAGACTCTGGAACACAGGAGAGCTTTGATTTGCTTGGTGTGCTCTCAGCATCCTCTTCTCAGCGGAGCTGCACAAGGGAATTGGTAACAAGTAGCCAACGAGGCTCTGAGAGCTTCTCCCTGTATGACACAGGCAGGGAGACTCCCATTGGCTCTGAAGTTCTCTGGGATGCCAGGGCGTCCCGTCGCAGTAGCGTTTGGTCGGTTTCACATCCCTTCCTTGAGGGGATTGGCTTTCCCGCTTCTTTCCTTCAGCCACAGAAAGGAAACGCCATGGAAAGCGTGCTAGCTGTCCAAAACTGCCCTTGGCATGATCCTTACTGATGCCCCTTGCTAGGACTTTTAGAAATCTCATTTGAGACTCAAATGCTTTTGTTCCCTGAACCTTGGAAAAGTTTTAGGGGGAAAAGAAAAGTTTTGGGCTTTCCGCTCTTACGCACCCGCTTTTGTTTCTGGGTCTCAAGTTTCAGGTCTGCTTGAGATGTTTGGAGAACGTGAGCTGGTCTTTTGAGCAGTCGGTGTGATGGCTTGGCACCCTAGAAACATGTATTCTCAGATCCCAGGAGTCTGTTTACTTTGCAGCATTCCTGAGCGGGTCAGTTGATCTCTGGAACAAGTTCTAAAATCTTCGCTCCCTGTGAATCTCTTGGGTTTGGAAACAAGGGAAAGGCTGGAGATTAGGTCTGTCAGGCTTATCCCAGGGAAGCAGCTTCCAAAGAGCTCCTGAATGCAGGACAGGGAAGTATTTTCCAGCTGGTTTCCCGATTTGCCGGTTACAGGAAAAATTAAAAAGAAACGTTTCCAGACTCTCTTCTTCCTCGCTGGAGAGGAAATGTCTCGAGTATTTCGAGTATCACATTTCGTGGTTCCCATACTCTCACTTTCAAGCTATTTTTTTCCCTTCTTGGTGGTTTTGAACGAGCGGGCATGTTTCCAGGCTTTCTATTTAAAACTAGCCTGTATAATTTGATCTTGTGTGACTCCAGAGATTCCAAACACACTCTCGCTCAAGTTGTTTCTGTTCGCTCTGCTTCAGATGCCATCAGGGAGCTTTCATCCAAGGTGAAGCTGTCCCCTCGCCTTCTGCGGGTTCTTGTTTGTTCTCGTGTGCTGTTTTGGAGTAGTAGATCCAAGATCACAAGTCTGGGTATTTTCCTCCCTAGAAACGTTGCTGGCATCAGTCACAAATTCAGAGGCTCTCTGTTTGAAGCAAACTGATCTCTCCTGGAGGTTATTCTGCCGGGTGCTATTTGAGTTCTCGTTAAGAGCCTAAAGGGGTTGAGTCAGTGAGATTGTGGTGCTTCAAACCAAACCACGCTCCTCTTGGATTGTGACTGGATGCATATGCCCTCCTGAAGGGGCCGAGCTGACAGGCTTTCGAATGCAGATGGGGTCTCTTCCACACACCCTACATTTCTCTCAGTAGGAAACATTGCTTCTCTCTAGGATCAATAACTATTTTCTTATCATTCTGCTTGGCTTGCATGGTGCGTCTGCTGCCTTATGGGCCCAGTGTCCTCCAGCACAGATACGGTTTCCCAGGCTGGGTCCCAAACCTTTCCTTCGAAATAGCAAATC